AAAGAAGAGGAACTGAATTTACATATTACTAAAATGCATGAGTACAATGAATTAAAAGATACAGGGCAAATGTTACTTGGAAAATTAGGTAAGTTGTGCGTGGGAGCTTCTTGCTCAGTAATAATAGAGCAACATATTTCATAAGTGTTACAAATATAATAAATTATCTGGTGTTATGAGGAACAGATATGTATATTTCACTCCTTGTTATGGGAAGATCATTATGTCATTTCTAGGAAGTGTAACGTCCATGGCTGAATCGTTTTCAAATGTTTTTTTTAGCTCCGCTGTCGACTTTGTCGACTATGGTGTAAATGTACCTTTGGTAGACCTCTCTCAGATTTGTTCATTTCACGATGATATCTTCAATTCTCTAGTTTTGGTGAATATTTTTGTTATTTTTGGTAAAAAGTCCAATTGCTTTTATATTACATATATAGGTACTACATGTGGACCTCTCTCAAATTTGTTTATTTTATAATGATATCTTTAAAATTAATTCTTTTGGTGAATATTTTTGCAATTTTTGGTAAAAAGTGATATTTTTGACTTCTTGTTAAAAACCGCAAGTTCAATTGCTTTGATATTACATATATAGGTACTACATGTGGACCTCTCTCAGATTTGTTTATTTTGTAATGATATCTTTAATTCTCTAATTTTGGTGAATATTTATGTCATTTTTGGTAAAAAGTGATATTTTTGACTTCTTGTTAAAAACCGCAAGTCCAATTGCTTTGATATTACATATATATGTAGGCACTACATGTGGACCTCTCTCAGATTTGTTCATTTTGTAATGATATCTTTAATTATCTAATTTTGGTGAATATTTTTGTCATTTTTGGTAAAAAGTTATATTTTCGACTTCTTGTTAAAAACCAGTGCAGTGTTGCAGGTCATATCATGCAGTAAAACATCATGGTAGGAATTACTTCGCATCAAGATCTTGTGTTAAACCAAAACCATTTGAAAACATAGATAATGATTTCCTACAGGTTCTAATAATTTTTAAATCATAAATTCTAATGGTGAATGAATCTTGTTTTGTTAGAAAGGGGTTTGTGAAATGCAGAAAATTCTAATTTATCTGATGATATCTGACCAGTTTTTCGTGTTTGTTGAATAAAAAGCTCATGGTTGATCTTTTACCAAGATGCATTGTGCAAAACGCATAAAAACGCACTCATCAAATTCGATATATCGCTCAATTTCAGTCTTTCTAACTCCATGTTTATTTCAGCTGAGTTGGAATGTGTACCAGTAAAAGATCTCTATCAAACATATGGACTTGAACTTGAAGATTAATTTGTGCACTGTTGGCAATTTGACAGTTAGTACCAAAAGTTACTTCTACAAAAATATTGTAAGCGACTTTTGCATTGATTTTGCATCTTTCCCAATGCTCACTTAACGTTTTGAATTTTTGAACAGTCAATTCAACTTTTGTTTTATTCACAAAATAAACAGCATAATATTTTTCATATTTTGTCCAAATTTTGATCAAAATCTGTAACCAGTGGAAAATTAAATCTATTCGATAGAAAATTAACAAAGAAATTAAGGAAAAATGTTTGAAATTGTGCAAAATGTGACATTCAAAAGGCTACCCACAATGCTTTGAAAAGTGAATCAGTATTCGAATCTATACATCATGTCAGTCTCAGGAATGACCAGTACTCTTTTGTTAACACTATCACCCTGTAGAGGGCACTGTTACCCTGTAGAGGGCACTGTTACCCTGTAGAGGGAAGGTACTGTTACCCTGTAGGGAGCACCATTAACCTGTAGAGGGTGCTGTTACCCCGTAGATGGTGCTGTTACCCTGTAGAGGGCACTGTTACCCTGTAGAGGGTGCTGTTACCCCGTAGATGGTGCTGTTACCCTGTAGAGGGCACCATTACCCTGTAGAGGGCACTGTTACCCTGTAGAGGGTGATGTTACCCCATAGATGGCGCTGTTACCCTGTAGAGGGCACTGTTACCAAGTAGAGGACACTGTTACCAAGTTGTAGAAGTGCTGTAATATAATAACATGCTGAATTTATCACAAATATTTTTTAATCAATCTTTGCAAAGCTATTACAGAAAGAAATTCAAACAATAAGAAATGGACGGATGTTTACAATATTGCATAGCTTTATGAAAATCTTGTACAGTGGAAGTGAGCTTGATGAAAACCCTATGCTTCAAATATATATACCATATTTGCTCTATTAGTAGTATATGCACTTACATAAATGGCAGAAATGCATCAAAATATGTCATATTTGAATGATTTTTGTTTTATGTGTGCTTTAAGTGTACTACAGGATATATGCACACTTTAGGTACAAATTTATTTGATCTGTCGTTTTCAGCAAAAGAGTTATTATTTCACACATATATACATCAACAAACAATGTAAATGAAATTGTATAAAAATACTCATTCTAATTTATAAAATCTTTCTAGACCTTTTTTTTTTCTTTTGTAAATACCGGTATTAATGAAATATACACACCAGGGCTTATCACTAAGGATAGTCCTATGGCCATGGACAAGTTAAATTGGCATTTGGACAAATGAAGAATAACTCGCTTGTTTAGGAGACTATAGAAAATATATAGGCAACATACTTTTTCCCGAAAAGTGTGTTTAAAAGTTAAAGCGGGGGAGTCGTCAGATGGCCATAGCGTGTCATTGTTTACAAACAAGTGTCTACCCATGAGCCTTTGCGTGTTTAGCGTGTGTTGTTATCGTCGATTGGGACTCAAGTCCTGCGTATGCGCAGGTGACGTCCCTCTCGCTTTAATGTCAAGCCTTGTACACTGTATAATGACTTCCTTAATGAGCACTGTATTTTCATGTCACTTTCCTCTATTAAAAAGTATATTTTCCAATAAATTTAAAGCAGCATTAGTAAGTACTTCTAAAAATAAAGACACAGATGTATAGCATTTTTCAATTGTAGATGTTAATTTGTGCCACACAAATGGAATGTATCATTGCTTTAACCCTTTCACCACCAGATTTCTCGTTCAAAGTTGTCTGCACTTTTTGCTTATATTTTTCAATATTTCTGGTAATAAAATCTGATTTTAGAGCCAACAGACGAAATTTGAATCAATTTTAATTTTTTACTCAAAAAATTTGGCTATTTTCGTCCCAATATTCTGAAGGAAAGTGCAAACTATAAACAGGATTATTTTGTGAATTTTTGATGAAAAGAGGGAACTGGTGGTGAAAAGGTTAAATAAGTTATTTCCAAATTTAGATAAAAATAGGTAAAATGAAAATTTACACAGAAACTAGTTTTTCACAGCCTAAAATTCAGTGAGAAGAGATTGAAAAATCATTCAGCATAAAACGACGCCATTGCAAAACGTATTATAGTAAGCAAACATGAAAAAAAAGTGGCCGACAAACGGCCGTATTAGCAAATACCACACATTTACACAACTTAATTGGGTTAGTGATAATATCTACATAATGTCGCAAAACTTAACAAAATTCAACATTGTAAATTGTTGTTCCTGATGTTTTTTTGACAGTGCTTCTTATTCCCACTCGGGGTGGATGGTAAAGTGTCTTGGGATGGCACGGTGTGGACGCGTGAACATCGAGATCGTGTTTGAAACTGGACCGGGATGACGAATAACTGGCAGATGATGCCATGTCTGATGCTGTGGTTTCGTTGCTCGAGTAGTCGGTGTCAGCAGACGAAGGTGTGCGTTGCGTTTAGCTGGGTTTATAGCACCTGTTTCGCGAGCCAGTACGTAACTTCCTGTTCTACCTCTGCAAATAGAAGAAAAAAACACATGAAAAAGTTATACATATTTCTCCAAAGCTCACCTCAATCAGTGCAAAAGTGCATAAAAACCGGCAACTTAATTTATTTGGATAAACTTGTAGATTTGTGTATTAATATTGCAGTGACCAATGCGCAGACACTGGCCACAATAAAACCTTTAAATGGAGGGGGGCAAGGGGGGATAGCTGGTACAGGTTACATGAAATAAAAACGGCATTACATTATTACGAGAATAAAAGCAATTGATTACATTTTACGAAAATATTCTTTGCCGATCCTCAGACTGAAAATTACAACACAGCTGCTTTTTAAAACTTTTTGAAAATATTTTACTATACATTTTTCAATCCCCATGTTTTTTGTTTTTACATATTCATGCCATAAGTGTTTATAAAAAACAATTTTTAATCATTATATTCATTTTCAAAAAACGTTTCATGTACTTCAATTAACAACCATATGCACTTACTTGTTGAGAGTGTCCAGGACTTGACGCAGTCGATCTCCATCACAGATTTTGCACTGACTATCATCCTCGTGTTTGACGCCTTCTTTGGCTCCCATCAAACGACTTCCTGCCAACGAGCTGAAGAACTGAACAGCGACATCACGATCTGGTAAAAAAAAAAAGTAGTAATTGATGAAGCCATGTAATTAATTAATAAATGAGAAAACAAGAAAGTAATGATAAATAACAAAGAGGACTGAAGCATCGTTCTGCGCTATTGATAACATTGACATGAATGGCTACGGAGATCTCGTTAACTGTAAGAAAACTACAAGACTTGTTTATGTCACTCAAATAGTGTTCTATTCTCTTATGTCATCATGTCTATCGTTCCCTGAATGATGTAAACATGATATTTGAAACAGTTATGTGATGATGGGAGAGTACATTTGAGGGACTAAAACAAGTTTTTATGACTCTCACACTATAGTCTATTTTATTACTTTCCATGCCCTAGCAGAAGTATGCAATTATGTGATTATAAAAGCCCAAATTGCTGCAGTTGACAATGGATTGACGATAAAAATTGATGAAATGGAACAAATTCATAATCTTTGTCTTTTGATCATATTTTTGAGATTGAATTTCTCAAATTTCTTAATAACACCTTATCTGTGAAAGCCCCGACGAAATGAAAAGGAAAAAAAAAACGATGCTGTTTGCTGTTGTCCTTTTTTTAGCTAAATCAATCCAAACTTTGCGTACTGTGTGAATTTTATTTTCAGGAACTTTCAGGCAGGTTTCAGGTTTAGTTTCATTCTACGTAACTCATATCTTCTATTTGTAATTTAGACCGACTTATTGACGTGAATCTTTACTGATAACACCCAAATGATGGATGGATGTACATGCATACCACTCACCTCTATCACTAGCGTTGTCCATCCATTTCTCAACAGCTTTCTTAGCATCGGGTTGCAATGCGTGGGTCAGTGTCTTTTCAACATACTCTTTATCAGTGATACGTAACACTTGGTCAATGATTTTTTTATCTGAGTCTGGGGCCACACGTAGCCATTTCTCAGCTGCTGGCTGAGCTCTTGGCTTCAATGAACGCTGCAAAGTCTGTTGAAAAAGTAAATGTATGGTTCAGGCATAAAACAGAGGACTGTAAAAGGATTAATTATTAATTATTAACTGGGTTTTAATTTTGCTGGCTAGAAAATGCGCTAAATTGAATCCCAGTGAATATGTAAAATTTAGCATAGAACACATTATCTAAATGATAAAACTGTGAATTTAAATTAAAACCCACTGAAGTGCCTGAAATGGTAAATCAGCGAAATTTAAACCCAGTGAAAGTCATTTTACAGTAATTCATCTCTTTCACTAAATCATTCTGATCATCGTTCCCCTGTGCTTGTTTTTTGCCGATGACAATTTAAAACTTGATTGCAAAGAATGTGAAACATTTTGTTGGGTTGAAAAGGTCAATTCCGTAGAAATTTGGAAACCATTAAAATAAATTGATTAGCTAGAGGTTGGTTACCCAGTATAAATTACTTCTAACAAATTCATATTCATAGCAACAATTCTTTGGTTGTTCGGCCATTTTATTACAAATACAATATACAAGATACAAGTTGGCACATATGACACATAGGTTGCCATGGAGACTTAGTTCCAAAATAATTTCAACACATAGGTCACCATAGAGACTGATCCAAAAATAAGGTTGACAATTAGGTTGCCATAGACATTGATCTTCAAATATGATCAACATATGAGTTACCATAGCAACTAACATCCAAAAGGGGTATAGATTGCCACAATCCCCAAATAAGGTCAAAACAGGTTGCCATAGAGACTGATCTCCAAAACTGCACACAGCATGTTATTTATTAAACTCGTATTTATCTCTGTGAAAACTATAAAACCATTTCTGGAAAAAAAAACAATAGAAGTTGACTTACAGAATTTCTAATATCCGGTACAGCAACTTTACGTTCCAGTTTGTTGTTGGGTGGAGTACCAGATATTGATGGCAGTGCTCTGACTGTAATATAAAAACAAATTGCATATAATTGAGTTAATAAATAAACCTGTAAATTAAGTTTCTGATGTTTGAGCAATCATGATTACCAGTATATGAAGTGCACCCTCCCACCTTGAACTTTACTTTATTGCCAGGCACTGCAAATGATTATTGTCACTTCTACTATTTTTTTTTTTTAATTTTACTGCAATGATATGCTTAATTTTATTATTGAAGAACCGCATGAAAATACAAACTTATTTTCACCTGAAAAAATAAACTGCTGCATTCATAGAGGTCCAAAAATAAAGAAAAAATTCCTGGTCAGTTTGTGTCTGTGTTGTTTGTTTATATTTTCATTATACAATTTTTCGTTTTGTTTTTGGAAAACTGTCAAAAATCTAAAAAAAAAAACTCAATATTTTTTATAGGCCTTAAAAATGTAACAATATTTTTATTCAGAATTTATTCAAATTTAAACCAATTGGATGTGCTGGTCTGTTTGATATTGTCTCATCTGAGTTTACGGTAGGTAGTATTGATTTTTATCTGAAGTTCGAAGCATATTTTAGTTATTCCAAGCCAATATGTGGAGCACCATCCTTTAAAGGGTGTAGATGTAAGTGGATGTTGAGTGGGGAAAACTTGTGGAAGGTGGAGGTCACCTTACAGGAAAGAATAGGTGCTGGATTGATCGGACAAAGACCACATTTCGCATTGAATATCATTACATAGTCATGTATTGTATGTGGGACCCACATTGTCAGCTTAGGCATGTGTCACACTTATCATCAAAACATTTCATGCAAAGCAAAATTTTATAGCAGTCAAGCCTCCTAATTTCCCCTATATTTATTACTCTAAATGTAAACCATGTACTTGAACACTAACCATGCTTTATTACATTCAACAACTGTTACTTTAATATCTGACACCTGCTTCCATTTCCCTTCCATTCACATACTTCAGAAAAATATGCAAAGATACATGTGATTGGTTGCACTCTGGGGAGTTTCATGAATGGACCCAATCAGAAACGTCCTTATATTTTCACTCTGGGTTGTATTCACGTAGTCAGTGAACGGCATTATGGGAAATAGTAAACAGGCTGGGAATAAGGTACTATTGGTTAGACCACATTGATGCATTATTGAGATGACTGCCATGTTCTCCCTAAAACCGTATTTAATACTACTATGAATGTTTGATGAAATTTTCAAATTAAGCTTCAATGCTCAATCAATTGCAAAAATGTTATTACATTTCAACCAGGCTGTATTTTTAACGTGGACTAGCTTGCTGTGACTTGAAGTGACACTCGTCAGTAATTTGTATCTCCATTCTCTTCTGTTCGCATTTCATTCTAACATTACGGCTGATGCATCCATCATTAGGGTGTAGACTGACTATCATAACTCATTGTCGTCACAAAATCAGTTATTTTCACTACTATAAATTTCGGCAATTTCAGGATTTTATGGTATTTATGAAGACAAAATTTCATGCAATCAACAGAAAAGGACGTTTTCACTGTCACAAAATTTTCAATTTTGGCAGAAACACAAAATTTGCGAACATTAAATCTATTAAAATAGTTCACAGTAATTTGGTGTGTCCATTTTCTGTATTTATTAACTTGCCTGTAATTGTGTACCAATATTTTAGCAGCTTTGCAAAACTAGTTACTTTGTAAATGTTTTTGTTTTGGGACACACACACACACACGTTATAGTGTCACTTTGAAGTGAAAGATCCAACATGGTGTGAAATATGCGAAATTCAGAAATCAAGGAACTTGGGCAAAAATAACGTACATGTATTTTTTATTCCAAAGGTTCGGTAATATCAGTCAGTCTAGGGAGAACATGTTGACAGAGTATGGAACACATGAGAATTTACCAGCAGTTAATAGCGTATAAAATCTCGGCACACACATTTACACATTACCTGACCCTGCCGAGTGTGTGGCACGACCTACAAAACACAGTGAACAAACAACATTAAACAAAATAAAAGTTTACAGTTAAAACAACAAAACAAAAGTTTACAGTTAAAACAACAAAATAAAAGTGGGTGATTGAAAAAACAAAAGTACATCGTTAAATAAAATTGTGATTCTATACAGTGTGATGGCAAAAAATTTAAAACAAACTTCATTTTGGAAAACTACTTAATTAAGCTAAAAAATAAAGAACTGAAAAGTATCC